GTTGTCGGCGCGCTTTTGAAATCGCGGTTTTAGCGCCGCGGTGTTGTCGGCGCGCGTATGACATTCGCGCTTTTGACGGGTCACGATAATCAACACATCTATATTGCAAAGTCTGATCTGAATGTACACCAAGTGACTGTTTCAGGTTTCAGTGCAAAACAATATTTGATTAAACACAATAAAATGTCTAGTGTGTTATCCAGACACAGGTAATGAGAAGTCCCTTTGATTCCAGGAAGACTTCTTTTATTATATGTACAGAGAATTACATACCTAGACTCAGTATCTACTATTTTGCCTCTTCAGGTTTTTGGGCCATCATGTTGGGCAGTATATAAATTCATCATCATCATCACCACCACCATCATTGTCATTGTCATCATCCAATAAAACATGTTTCTTTCTTTTTTAAAAATAAATACTGCATCCATAATTCTATTCTAAACTGCTATTAGGTAGTTAATGCTCATCCAGCATGGATGAACCTTTAACCCTGATTAGGAATAAATTATGAAAGGACTGAGGTAAAATTGTATGTGCAGTTCATTCTGCCTTGCATTGGAGGAAGGGTGGTGATATTTATCCTTTTTTTGATATTATTCTCTCTCTGCTCCTCAGCATGGGAATCAAAGATGTTTCAGAGAGCTAGAAGACTTTCCAGAAACACATAAAAGGTGATACTGGAGAAGGAGAAATGAATTAATACAGTCACCTCTGCATTATCCTGTTTCATTTTTCTACAACAAAAGAAGCAATTGGTTTGTATAAAGGTAAAGGTTCCCCTCGCACATATGTGCTAGTCATTCCCAACTCTAGGGGGTGGTGCTCATCTCTGTTTCAAGCCGAAGAACCAGTGCTGTCCGAAGACATCTCTGTGGTCATGTGACCGGAATGACTAAACGCTGAATGGAACATTGTTCCACATGGAACGCTGTTACCTTCCCACCAAAGGTAATTCCTATTTTTTACTTGCATTTTTACATGTTTTCAAACTGCTAGGTTGGCAGAAGCTGGGACAAGTCATGGGAGCTCACTCCCTTATGCGGCATTAGGGATTCGAACCACTAAATTTCTGACCTTCTGATCGACAAGCTCAGCATCTTAGCCATTGAGCCACCACGTCCTCTTGTATAAAGGTAGATTATATCAAACCAGATTTTACTTATTTATTTACATAAATTTATTAGTTGCCCAACTCCAATAGGCTTTAAATAGGAAAAAAACATACAGACAACTAAAAAACCAAGTCAGGTGGACAGCCCAGACTAAAATGATCTAATAAACAAGATCAACAAAACAGCAGTTTTAGACCAGTGGTGGGTTTCAAAATTTTTTAGAACCTCTTCTGTAGGTGTGGCCTGCTTTGTGTGAGTGGCTTGCCGGCCATGTGA